GAGGGCCTTCTCTGTTGCAGCTCCGGCCCTCTGGAACGAAATCCCCGCGGAGATTCGGATCCTCACCTCTCTCCTGGCCTTCCGAAAAGCCGTTAAAACCTGGCTGTGTCGGCAGGCCTGGGGTTGATGAGCTCCCTTCCCCTCTCAACAGGTGTGGTTGTTGGTCATTTTAAATGTCTATTTTGTACTTGTATGTTTCCCTTTCCTGTTTAAGTTGTTCGCCGCCCTGAGTCCCTTTTTGGGAATAGGGCGGCATAAAAATAAAATAAAACTTAAAATTAAACTTAAACTTAAACATGATTAAATCTGACCAGGTCTGATCTGCTTACAAACATCACAGACCACAATCCTTGATAGCATCTCTCACCAATTTTATGCGGGGGGGGGGGGACAGATTGGGAGAGAAAAGAGCTATAAACTACGTTCTAAAAAAATATTCACCCTGCATCCCTTATTTGACAAGGCTGAATTAGCTGAAAACTGTATTTCATAGTAGAATTTGAAGGACACTTTGCTAAGTAGTCCTGAAGCCTTCCAAGCAGCCTAAGAAAACTGCAAGGGTCCTCCTCACCACATTAAATTCTTAGGGAAAGTTGTCAGGGTAATGATGATTTAATAGCTGACCAGTTGCAGCAAAGCTGTAATACTGTAATGCTGTAATGATGATGCAATGCAGGAGTGATATTCAGCAGGTTCTGACCAGTTCTGGAGAACCGGTAGTGGAAATTTTGAGTAGTTTGGAGAACTGGCAAATATCACCTCTGGCTGGCCCCACCCCCATCTATTCTCTGCTTCCCGAGTCCCAGCTGATTAAGAGGAAATGGGGATTTTGCAATAAACTTTCCCTGGATTGGGGAGGGAATGGAGATTTTACAGTATCCTTCCTCTGCCTCACCCACCAAGACACGCCACACCATGCCCACCAAGCCATGCCCACAGAACCGATAGTAAAATATATTGAATCCCATCACTGATGCAATGGTAGTAATGAGTCAGTAGATATCAGACTTGGAAGCCATCCTTTACATTCAGCCTTCAGGCCTTTCTATTGTGGGAAAATGCAGGGGGGGGGGGGTCAGATAGATTATGAGTGATGTATAGTCAAAATAACATTCTTTTCTTAGAGAGTCAAGGACATATTGCCCTGCAGCCGTGATGATATAACTGGGAAGCATCTCCAGTTTTGGATGGTGCCTGATTGGATAACGTGATCGACATGTCACTCCTGGGCTGTGAGTTGAACTTTCTTTTGGGTGGGGAAAACCTGGAAACTTTCAGATTCGGGTTTCCTCAGATATGCCAATATGACATCACTAATAAAATAAAACTTTGAGGAAATTCAAGCCTCTGAGTGTTCTTTTGTTGGGGGTGTTGCTTGGAACCCTGACAACAAGCTTATTTGACTTATTTAAGAGGCTGTATCATAAGAGAGGCCCTGTTGGGATCTATCAGTCTCTCCCGTCCATGCTGTAAATTGTTGATTGATTGTTTGACCTTTGCCAGTGTACAATATGCTTTGTGCAGATAAACCACTATTTATTACAGACAAACATCTGTTACATTTTATTGCTCCTGGGTTGTCTCACATAATCACATTGTGCGGATTCTGACATTATCCACCTTGGTGACTAGGCTTAATCCAATTGAACTGGTTCTAAGGCTTTGAAAAAAAGGGGGGACACATACCAATATTTAGCAACTTTAGCTGCAACAGATGATCTTGGTTGATAATAAGTCTCTGTCTTTCAAAGCTCCCCAGTTGCTCTTGGATAGGATTCACCCTGGGGAGAACTACCCAACTTATGAGGTTCAGATCTGCAGTTACATCTCCATTTTCATCCAAATATAGTTTCAACAGGGAAAGATTGCACAGTTCATTCTTCTTGAGAAACGGGTGGAACTGGAATAGGGGGAAAACATCAGGTCTTTTAAAAGCAGCAGATGTCATCTCTTCACACTTGAATCTTTCTTCTACAGTTGTTTAACTTGCAAATATACAAGTACAATTATTATTTTAGGTTAAAAATGTCAT